CCATCTGAACCTACAGGGTTGCTCACAGTCTGGAGCTAATGGTAAATATCATTAGCTGCTCTCGAAAATATAGCATTAACTGCACTTAGCGCCTGTTTGCTTATATTCCAGAGCTTCCTGTGAATGGCTCTTCGGGTTTGATTGTGCGAAGGCTTGTGCATGGCGTGTCCGGTTCATTTCTGATCCTGACAACCTTGACTGTACAGGCTAAGTACCCTGTCCAGGCTATTGTACAGGGTACATTAGAGGTTAGATTGTTGGTGGAGATCCGCATCTGGGGAATCCCCTATTGACGTGAAATCCGAAAATTCTCAAACATCATGTTCTTCGTAGCGCATTAAAGACCATGTTTTCGTCGGATATCCCGCAACAAGGGGGTGGGCTCTAAGCCAGATGTTCATTGCCGTCTTCTGCACCTTCCACCTTCCCTCACCACANTCTCCAACCTCTCTCATGTTTTCTTCTTGGAAATTGGATTAATCAGGGGATTTCATCGATAGGGACTTGTCTGTTTTGCGTAAGAACGAATCAAGGCTCTTTTACGTGGACATCTTTCTTTTTTTCTCGGGCTAGTAAGTTCGGCTCGGACCAGCTTTTGATCCTATCACTAGGAAGTAATCGATCTCATACAAAGTTAAGGCATTGGGACAGTTGAATCAATCCGTAGGGCAATAGACCTTTGAACAACTGGCTCGTCGGCACGCATCCTCAAAGTTATAAATGGCTGGTTACATAAATATTTATTCTTGTTCAATATATTCTTTCAGTCTTCTCTGACTCACCGCACTGTCGGAAAAGTTCTTCGCCACTAATTTGCCTATGGTGTAAAATTTTTATGAGCTGCAACTGGGTGATTCACTGGGAATTGTTACCAACAAGTTCTATTTTTACGGCCGAAGTCTACTGCGCTCATAAGTGCTGCCGCCTGACGTAGTTATAAACAAGGTTCACATTGTTCATGACAATGCCTTCCTTGATGTGGGGTGGTCCAATGGATACTTCTGAGTTGAGGATGACATATTCTGCCTACCCACCGTATTCACCAGAACTAGCCCCCTAGGCTACCATCTGTTTTTGTCGCGATCAATTCATCTGATGGGGAGGAAGCTCAGCGACCGGAATCCGCTTGAAAACTGCCTTCGCTAGTTTTGTGCTTTAAATTCCTAGGGTTTCTACAGAAGCGGCTGTGGTACACTATTCCGATAACTAAGTATTTCAGCCATTTTTCCCTATGGATACTTCCTAGGTTTGTTGACTTTTCGGTCAGTTAAACCCACGGGAGATGGGGAAAACAGGTGGTGTATCAGGAGATCTCAGCATTGTTTTCGGGCGAGGGCTCCTGTTGTCATAATAATCATATGCTGACTTTGTAAATAACTGTTGATGACACATATCACCTCTCTCTTAACGTTTCACGAGTAGGTGGTCGGTCTCGTCGGGTAAATTAGGGGTTTTAGGCAACCCGATGAAGATTAGTATCGCTGAATCGTGATGAATTCGCTCACGGAGCTGCTCTCAAGCGGATCTTGGGTGCCCATTACGTTTAGTTGGCTTTTCAGCCATGTTCAATCTAACATTCGATCAAGTTTTCTACTTATGTACGCAGATATTTTAATGTGAGCTGCTAAGACCTAGGGGTTCTTTATATTTCAAATTCTTTACCTAAACTATCGACAAAATTCCAGATGAAGTTATCTGCTGGTAGACTTGATAATCGACTTAAAGGGTTCTCTTTTCTTTGTCATCTTCGTTGAAGTGTTGTTTCCAAATCCGTAATGTAGCTGAAAAGATGCAAAGGCATCGATGCAGTTTCGAAGGGTTTTCGTTGAAGGAAAAAAGGGCTTCGTATGCATCTGTTGCCGGGCATTTTTCAGCATCGGAGATCTTAGAGAGACAAACGAAGAGTTTTCAACAATTTCGATTGATGGAACGTGTTCAGATACGAAAGTAAGCTGCGAGATGTGCTGAAATTACGACACGCCGGCGATTTGCAATACGTCGAAGAACAGGATCTGACTGGGATCGGTAAGTTAGTTGAATTCATAGTTGTTTCTATAAATTACGATAGTTTTTTCTATAGTTTTGTGGAAATATCTAAATGGGTAGTGGTGTAAAGCTAAGTAGCGCACAGTTACACGCATGGGTCATGGATCGAATCCTAGACGTACACAAGTCGAAGCCAACTGAACCTTTCATTTCCCTGGAGTCCGTTAATTGGTACCAAATGACCGGGAGGGTAGAAACACTTATTTGCATCTCTGCTCTTACTATAAGTCATTGTATAGGCCCTATACGCATTCAAGAGGCCACTACTTTTTGGTTGGAAGACGAATGTGTGGGAACATCCAAAAGTTAGACCGCCCAACGCTAGATGACTCTACCTTCCATTCCTAATAGTACTAAATGCTAGCTTACAGTCCCAGTCCACAGAGCCTATTTTGGTATTTTGAAGCTCCTCGGTGGTCATTGGGATTGTCTGGGCAGTCAAGGGCCAAAGCGACCAAGGGTGAGGATGCCCCGTGCTCTGCTGATTCTCCATTTATGGCGGCAGGCCTTCAAGCCCTCGTTTTATTTTCCAATTCATGGTTTTAAGTCAGACACGAATTCGGCCTTCTGGAAGGAGCGAGGGAAGTCATTGGGAGTATGAAATTGCGAAACTTTCTCAACAGCCATCTCATATGTATGTGGTTCGCATTGTTATTTGCCATAAAGATGGGTCATAGTGATTCACCGGATTATTCATTGGTTCTTTTAGTTATTTACACTACCTTCTCAATACTCTAGAACAGTAGCACTGATTCCACGGTGCGAGGCGTTATGAAATTTCCACAAAAAAAACTTTGAAAACAGGTTGTCGAAAACTGATGGCATCCAAGCGCCCACCAGTTCCTACCGTCAATACATAAGTGATTGAACTGCTTGATAAGTGAGGTCTACTGGCTAGTATTTGATGTTCCCTCGAGATCGTTATCATTTACGTACACCAATGTTTACACCTCTAAATTATTAAATACTAAAAACGATAGCTTCGTCGCATCCCAACACTGTCGTTCCTTGTCGCCTGCCCTCGCCTATTGTCGCTATTTGTCAATCCCTATGTACTTTACACTGAAAGTATATATAGCTTATTATCACGACTAATCCATAATCTTCTATGTCGCTCGTTGTCGCCGCTCAAATCAATAGTCGTTACCAGTTTTTACAACTGTTCTGTTCAACGTACTTTCACTTCCAGTTGACTCTTAAGCGTTCGATTCCTGACGCCTTCTCACCGCTTCGCTTCTCGAGATCTCAGACTGACCCATTGTTATCCCCTGTTCCCTGATATCGCCAATTATCATTCGTAACGGCAATAATTTATCCAAGAAACTTCTTTTTCGTTCACTTTTGCCTCCTGTCTTTAGCAGATGTTTTTCGTTTTTCTCCCTTTTCTTTTTTCCTTCCCATTTGGCTTTTCTTCGAGCGACTCCTGACGCATCAATGGTGGTGCTTCTGACAATCTCTCCTCAGCCTAGCTCTCGTCTTCTATTCCGAGTGCTGTTTTTGATTTTTTACTCCTTCTTTTTAATAAGACCGGCCCAAGGTTTTCTTAATTCTCCTGATTGTTGGTTAAATTTTTTCAGCTATGTCCAGAAGAATTTTTTACGGATTTCTGTCCTTGTCGGCTCATCATTGCAATAGATCCTTTTTCTGATAGCTGTCTTACTCCGTGTCCACTATAGCTCGTTCCCCGTGATTGTAGATGAATGTTACTGTTACTCGTGATCGTTCTTTACCGGCTACTATCGTATATTATCGCTTGTCTCCGGATCTTGTCTCCTTTGTCTCATGACTCCTAACTGTATGTATATTAAATCGTTCTTTCACTACTATTGCAACTACGTCCAATATCTTTTATAGTTCTGGCGATACAAGTCACTTATTCTCGCTCTATGTCGCTCTCTAACGGTTTCGGTGTAACTGCAGGCCCATGACGCTTGAAATTGTTGTTGTTTGGTATCGCTTTATACCATGCGTGGCGCTACGCGTACTTACTCGGGTTTAGACCCCTCGTTATTACTCGTTATCTCGTGATATCCCTTATTATCGCTTGTTACCTTCTATTATCGCTCCACATCGCTCCCTTACTACTATACTATTAATGGCATATTCGATCGCATTTTTGTAGAAATTGCTTCGTCGCTTCTTAACAAATTTGCTAGAGTTTCGAGTGACGCTCAAACTCACTGTCGTTCAGTATTATTTTGCGGCATCCACATGATTGTATAGTATCCCACCGTCGCAGAAAATCGTTCGCCATTACGTTCTCCCCTTACTTTCATCTTTCTTCGCACACTGTCGACTTTGTGTGTGTTGGTGTAGGTGAATAAGAAAGACTGTCGACTTTTTTGTTGCGCGATTTTGTCTCTTCTGTCTTTTGCAGCTCATTTCGCGAGTTTATGCTTTCGCCAATATACACAATCGTGTCATCGAGGGCACAGTAAAATCCCTTAACCTTTACTGTCGTTAATTTTCGCCTTTACTGCTGCCTCCGCTTTTCTGATACCATATTCAACCTTTACTCTAGTAGTGATCGCTCGTTGTCGCCTACCGGGATTGGAAACCGATGTTGTTGCCGACCACTAGCTGAGGGTTTGGTGCGATCCTCCCCTCGCCACCGTGTAGAGGCTATTTTCCTTTGCAATATGAAAAGATCCATAGATTTTAAGATTCCATAGGTTTGGAAATAGCGTCCTATGCCATCATTCTGTTTTGCCATTTCTGCCGGAAGGGTACCGGAGAGCATGGCGTAGGTTTGCTGAACTAGGGGTTTCGAGGCGTCTGATCCCAACCCCTTCCCTGCGCGCTTCTCTGAGCGGAACGTCCTCACTTGGTGAGCGAGGTGGATGGGATGGAACTGGTTGCAATAGCATGTCTAGCAAAGATTACTCAATCGCAGCACTACGACAAAAAAATAGCTTCGGCTACTCCAGCCTCAGTTGTAAGCAGTAGTTTTTAGAAAGCTTGTTCGATACGAGGCGATTGTTGTGGCGATGCGTTGTTTGAACAGAGCTGTTCGATCGAAAAACGCCATGACACCGCTTCGATTTCCCATTTGGGAGATTCAACGGCCCCTCTCAAATATCTATGGACTGTTGAATCGCTTCCGCCTCACTTCCTTCCTCTTCCTGTTTCTATTTTATATCATTATCTAGTTCAAATTGAAAGCAGATTTTTACACCCATTCTAAGTTCCTAAGGGTTTTTAATGGGATTGTCACACCCCTATTTCTTTTTAAAACCCTGAGCTAACGGGTGGCCAAGTGGGTATAAGTTACTTTGAAGATGAGCTGTTTGCTCGAAACAAATCAATTCTCGAGCCCAAAAAACATCATGGCTGAAGCTGTCGGCATTGATCGCTCAGCTGCAGTATACGCCATGCACTCAACTTGCACACAGATGCTAGCCCTAGTGGATTACTCATAACACCATCACAAATGATTAACCAGCTATATTACGTGTATTCATTTCATTACCGTTCCCGATGGCCAATTAGTTGCTCGAGTCGGGAGGAGGGGGAAGGTAAATCTAAACAATGAGCATTGGTTTGATTTTCTCAGTAAAAACGTCACGTCGTGTTGATCGGAGATCGGCATACTCACGGTGAATAACAAAAGGATAGAGACCTCAGAGCTAATCAACGCCGTTGTTTTCGAATGCGCCCCGGAATCGACCAAATCAAAAACGATATGGCCTTTTAAGTGCATTCATGGCCAATACAATGGGATGCGTTGGCCTGCTGATGAGAAAGCCAGTGCTTTTATCTTTACAAATGAGTCAGGTACCAATGAACCGATCTCGTAGGGTGAAAGCCTTGGTTAGCCCAGGCAGGCATCTTCTCGGAACACCGGTGTGGGGTATTGCGCTTTTTCATACTACACCACCTCCGCTAGAATTTTCAAATCATGGGAATCGAGTATCTGTTCAAAATTGCAGCAGTTGTTCTTTACAGTAATTCTTTTCGCATGGTTGTCTAAGTAACCTTGAATGTAATGCTTTACTTTCGTAAAAATTTTACTTCAGGTATGAGCCGGCCGGAGCAGAAACGTCTCCGGAAAGAGTACACCCGATTGTATCCGAGCGGTTTTGTGGGCAAATTGAAGAAGGTATTCGGGAGATCGGATAGTACTGATCGACGAGAAATACCGGCAGCACACGACGACGACACCGATCAGCACGTAATACCACCTGAAAAGTGCGTGCTATTTTTTCCTATTTATTCAGTAGCTGCTTTCAGTTTTTCGTAGGCCTGTGGACCGCCTCGAATTACATGAAATTAGTAGGAAATTACCATACTAGTCCCTATTCAGAATCACGTTGTGTAAGGAATTGGGTCATGGTGAATTCGGCTCCGTGTGGCAAGCTTCATGGAAAGGTGGACCGAATGGAGCAGAATCGATGCAGGTAACAGCATCCTCATGTTTTCAATGCGACCACTTTTCAATATGATTAAGTAAAACCTAAATACTAAATCGGAGTAGAACAACTAATAGAACATCACTCCGTACCTGGAAGTTTTATAGGCACAAATATTCTCTTCTCTCAGTTCCGTTTTAGGGAGTCCTCATTGGAAGCCCCCAAGTACGATTGGTTCTATCCATCTGCACTATGATAGAAGTCCAATCACTATTATCACCAGTCATCTCGTTTATCGTCCATTTCCTCAAGCGTGCGCCAGTAGCGCCCACATTCGTCCCTGTTCCGAGCCAGAATCGTCCTCGAGTTAGAGGCACGAGTATATCATTCCTTTTGTCAAAGGGCTCCCTGAAAAATCCTACCATCGCACTGGCGGCTTCTGACATCCCGATAGATTCGGCCAGTAACCACCCGGAACCAGCGAATATCATAAAAACCATATGACCCTACTCACTAACAATTTTCGACTGTATTCAAATCGTTTGTACACTCATCAGCTTAATTTAAAATTAGGATAAAATTCCGAGAAGTAAAATATGTATTGTATATGTGCATATATATAACTGTAAAAAATTTGTAAAGATATGATTTCTCCAGCTTGTTATTTTTTCCCATTACTAATCCTCGAATACTTCGATGTATTTTTCTAAAATGGTATTACTTACAGGTTGCTGTGAAATGTGTTGCACCTGACAAGATGTTGACCAGCTCAGCGGCCTTTCTTCAAGTGAGAGAGATTTTTATTCATAAAGAAAAGTCCAAAGTCAGGTGTAGGAACACTGTTCACTTATTCGAAAGGATGTTAATTTATTCGAAAAGGACCAATTTATTTGAAGGTATTTCTAGAAAATTGAATTTTAGGAAGCGGCTATTATGACCCGGATGCATCACGACCATGTAGTGCGATTATACGGTGTTGTGTTGGACATGAAGAAAGTGATGATGGTTTGTGAATTACGGAGTTTATCACTTTTTCCAGTTATTTCCTTTTTCGTTGAGTTGCCAGGATATATTGTGAGAGCTAAGACCATTAGGTTCGATATTTCAAAATAAAGTACAGATGAGCTATGATAAGTTTGGGTAGGAAAGAATACAAAAATTGTAGAATGTTTGGAATTTCGCGGTGAGTTGGCAGATACGTGAAAGCTCTGAATCTATTTCGACCTCCTGGGGCCTATTTTAATCGTGTTTTTTTCTCAGGCGCATCAATTCCTTTCAGAATACCAGTTCTTTACACCTTTCTTTTGTGCATAGTTACGTCACTTGCAGACGAGCTGGGCAACCTGTAGAACTTATCTTTTTAAAATTAATGTCTAAGGAATAAGTCGGCAGAAACTAGAATTTCATAAGGCCATGGGCTTGGCTAGAATTAATCTTGTCAGGTTGGCATTGGGAAGTGTTGGCATGGAGGCAACTCGAGGCAACTTCCTATTTTCGCAAATTATCATTCATGCGACTGTTTCTGGACGTGTTTGGGCAGTTCTGAGAATGAAAACTCAAAAATATTTGAAATGTTTTCCTCTTTCTGTGTTTCCCCTATTTTCCTCACTTTTTGAAGTTAACTGTCGCAGTGTGTGTTGTTTGTGTGAGGTGCCGCCTGATGGTGAGCAGAACCTTATAGAAGGCACATATGCAGGTTGTGTAGGCGGTGCGTGCGTGAGCCCTGTACAGGCTTCCTATTGGTGCTTCCTTATCCTTAACAGTCAAAGCGACCAATCAGCAAGCTACCGTACCTAAATTAATCACCTGCTCAAGTGGTTTGATTTTTATCAATTCTATTATGAACGCGGATCGTAAAAGTGTAAAAAGTTATGCTCACTGCCGATGTTGCTGAAAATGACAATATCTCAGACCGTTTTTTTNTTTTTTTACTGCAGTAACCGTTTGCAAGCGACAAAATGGACAAGGATCGATATGTATCATTTCTATTGCCTTCCAGGTCTCCGAATTAGCGACCTGTGGCTCACTTCTCGAGTGCCTTCATAAACCTGCACTTCGTGATTCGTTCCCAATACATGTACTGTGTGACTATGCGGAGCAAATTGCAAAGGTTTCTGATGCCTATGAATTTATAATTTTTTTTTGTAAAGTCGACTTTTTTCAGGGCATGGCTTATCTGGAATCCAATCGGTTGATTCACCGTGATCTGGCAGCCAGGAATGTACTTGTGTTCAGTCCAAAAAAGGTACGAAATGGTTTTCGCCGTTTTTCGTTATTCTCGAAGACGGAAGTACATTCTCTTTTGGGCAGAATTTCTTTATTAAAGTTTCGTAGAAGTCTCAAGAAAGGTCCATTCAACATGTATATCTCATATATAAGAATCTGTCTTTCGTCGAATTTCCTATCGCTTCCTTTGTTCGCCCCCTGAAAACCCATTTTTAACTTTTTGTTTTCACAAATTTGACATCAAGAGCTTCTCTCAAAGCGGTCGTATCGATAATTTATCGAGCCATTTCTTATACTGCATTGATTCCCTTGATTATCTTAGGTGTGGACCACCGTGATTCCTGTATCGAGACCTACTTGAGTCTACCGAACCACGATCCACTAATTGGTAAAGGACCGGTTGAGAGGCAAAACTTCTGAAATGGCTGACTTTATTGCTCAAATGCACACATTTGAATACCTATGCGATTTAGAGTCCGACTCAGATGCATGGCGTCTTATCCTTTATGAACCTCATCAGTTTAAGTATTCATCGCTGGTTAGAACTGAGGGCCTGCCAAGGACTTCCTTTCACGACTGCACGTCTATGTTCAAGCCACAAGCCTCAACCGCCCGTCCCAAAACTGTAAAATCAAGATCATCTGCCATGTTCTCCTCAATAGCTAACCCCCACAAAGTGTCAGTTGTTGATATTTCAGTGTTTTTTAGGCACTTAGAACAAAAACGTCAGTGCAAGGGCCAGATTCCACAGGCAGCTGAATTCGCCCACGTATTTGTTTTGCTCGTTCTAAGGCCTCAATTCAATAGATGATGCGGCGCTTCCAAATCTAATATTTCTTTTCAAAAACAGCGATTTTCTAGTGGTTTTCTCAGCAGGCTATTTGCCAATATTGACGAAATACCTTTTTATGTAGTGATTCGTTCCAAACGTTTAGCTATTTTATGATTGTAAAAGGTCATTTTCTAATCACGATAAAAGCTACGAGACAGCTCCAGTCAGAATCTTACAAAATCATGAAATGAATGAGATGGTTTCACTTGATACCTTTTTGTTTAAGCTAAAACTTTTTTTCTGATTGACAAAATGCTGTGTAGCTATGTTTGGCTTATTGAGGGTCATGGTCGGGTTATGGGTAATGTCACATTGCTCTAGAAAGCAGATAAGCGAACTCAGACAAATCTATGTGCTCGGACAATCTAATCTTTGTAGGGGCCGTCCATAAAATGTAATGTTAAACAAAGGGATTTCAGTTCCATATCCATCTTTTCGTCACTTCCAAATTTCCTTTTGTTTTTTTTTCACTTTCTCTTCCATTTTCCCTTTCCATGTTTCTATTGAGTAAGACCTGCTTCCTCTTCTTTTCTTTCTATCTGTAGCTTGAGTGGGATAGTCTAATCTCTTTCTCTCTGTTTCTTTCTCATCCTATTTTTTTCTGTCTCTCTACGAGAAATGCATAAACCAGACTTTATTTGTTGAGAGAGGTAGATGATTTATTATTTGTCATTGTTTGGGAAAGCGCAACATTTATTCGATGTGAAGTCAAAAAAGCTTGACTTTTACTTACAAAAGCGTTTACTTGATAGATACTCACTAACGATCATTCCAGGTGAAAATCTCCGACTTTGGACTGTCACGATCGCTCGGTGTCGGTGAGGATTACTATCGCAGTGAATTCTCAACGTCACTCAAATTGCCAATCGCCTGGTGTGCACCTGAGTGTATCAATTTTCTCAAGGTAGATTGGTTTCTGAACTCTACAGCTTTTCTCCGTAAAATGAGCTTTCATTTGATTTGTAAATGTTACAATCAGTCGTTCGCTCCGAACGGTAAGCAGAAGCATGGCGCAATCCGCTCAATCAATAGATTACTCAATGGAGTCCGAATGTGATTTTTTCAGTTCACCTCAGCATCGGACGTGTGGTCGTTTGGTGTGACGCTGTGGGAGATGTTCTCGTACGGTGAAATGCCTTGGAATGGAAAAACCGGAGCTGAGGTTTGGAATTTAGGACTCATTGGGAACTTGGGTATTGGGGTAGTCTACTAGTGCAAAAGATTACGTGAACGGAAAGAATAAGAATAATGAAATATTCCCTTAAACCGAAGGACTCATTGTTAGAAGAGAAGCTTTTGGCACTGTTCAATTTTGCTCCGAAATGCGCTCCGGCATTCGTCTGCTGGTCAGAATCGAAGTCACACTGAATGCATAGGTGACCTATTCAATGACTTACGGGAGCAGCCAATGTTCACGGTAGTGTCTTTATCGTCTAATAGATTCTGATATCAATTAGCCGACTCAGAAGTATGGGATGCTCGGTCGTCTTCGGAGGGTGGCCGGTATTTGATCCTTCGACTGTCTTTGTAATTGTGCGCACTGCATAACCTCCCAACCACATCCATAGGTAATACTCCGAAAAAGAGTTCGAAACTGAGCAGTATTAAGCCGTATCAGCGGAACTGTTCGCAGGAGTTGCGTTTCTGCTGTTCATTACCGCATGTCATACATCCCTTGCTTGAACGAGCTTCGGAAACCTCCCCATACTAGCCTATCTTCCTTATAGAAATCATCTATTAGTAGTTATACTGATTAGTCTGAACTTTGCACGTAAAACTTCACAGAGAATTTGCACCTCATAAGCTTCCTATTGAAGGGGAATGTACAACACTTCCATAGGTTCTCCTGAGTACCGATCGTCCCTGAGCTGCTAGAACTACCTGTTGAGTATCAGTAGTCTTCCTTCTTAATGAGAACTTTAATGTGTTACATGAAATGATAGCAATTCCAGATTCTGAACCTAATCGATCAGCAACGAAAGCATCTCGATCGGCCTACTGCTTGTCCAGAAGATATGTATGCCTTGATGGAAGAATGCTGGAACTACTCTGCCATTAAACGGCCAACATTTGCTCAAATTATGACACAATTCCCAGAAAGGTAAGTATAAAGCCTTCACTGGACTCGCTTATCATTTGATTAACCTGAACATACGGAACGAAAACATGGTGGGGAGTTGATTCGCCTACAAATTCCTATTTCATTTATCCCTATTTGTCTCAGAATGAAAGAGGCCCAACAGTACATTGATATTTACACATTTCGTTCCAAACGTCCAGGTTTCTGTGGAGTTCTACTCGTTTCTGCCCAGTCCAACACGATTTTTGTAGGGGGAGAAAGTTTGATTCTTCAACAAGCAGTCTTACTTCTCTGTATGTTCAAGCGTTTATGGCAAATAGAGACTCTTGAAACGGTAGTTCTGGTTGAAGGATGTGTACCGGTGAAGGTCCTTCTCTTCAGGAATCCCTGAGCGCGTTCGGCTCTGGTTTCATTTGTTGCCTAGCTAGATAGGCTAGGATTGACGGACGTAACTAGAGTTTGTGAGGTAATACGACCTTGGACGGTCCGCTCAAAAACCTTTCATTTCCGACTGAGGTCGAGGCGTTCGTATCGGCGGATGGGCGTTGTGCTGACTTCCGGTGGCACGCGTTACTCACCATCGTTTCCCACGCTGTGTGGTGGTGTATTGCTAATGGCCTGTCTTGCCTGAATGCACATTGTCTCATTCTTTCGACCATTTCCATTCGTCCTCGATCTATCCATCGGGTGGGGCTCAATTGCTATTCATCTGGACTTTATTTGATCCTTTTCTGCCGTTCTTTCCGTTTCTTTCCCTCCGTCTCTTCTCTCAGCAACATTAATGTAAACTGTAGGCTTTCATGTGCACGGGTCTTTATAATCCTAGATAATTCGTGGTAACTCGACAATGAAGGAGTGAACGGTAAAAAGCGCATAGGTCAGTTTGAACCTTATCAGAGTCCGATTCCCCACGATGCTTCGAGCTCTAATCTATCTTCTGAACATACTTCAAAGATCCCAATCTGTTTTGTTTGAGCCCTTGGGAGGAGGAGCACTACCCCACCATTCAGTCAGGGGTGTTAGAAGGTTCCGGAACCCGTTCCTTGCCCTGCCCATTCGCCCGCCGAGTTGTTCTCCTTTCCTCAGTGCTGCGAAATGCTCGCACTGTCAGGCGACCTGTTTGCTCTGCGTCCAAAATTATCGCCCAGAAAAACGAGTCCCATTCACCGTGTCTTTCCTGTGAAAAGGTATTTCTTGCTTTGAATTTTTCGGTTTCAATAATTGGAGCTGTGTCTCAGTTAATTTTGGGAATTGTCTATCCAATTAGCTCTCGGTAGGTGGTCTCACAGTAATGCTAGAGTGCTTCCAAAGTATGTACGTAGTTGCAGGTCATTACCTAACTGATCCCACTATCTCTTCCAGATTACCGCAAACGGTTAGAGCTGTTTGTGACTGTCGTGATTCAGCTAGCGACCATCTGCAGTTTCGAAAAGACGATCTTATCGTCGTCATCGATCGAACGTAAGTGGTATATCGCTTGAGTTAATTACTTGGGTAATAAATTTTGTCATTTTTAGGCCATCCAGTTATCCGGACGGGTACTATTGGTTTGGATCGCTCCGAAACGGTCGTACGGGTCTATTTAGGCCGACGGACACGGTAGCTCACTTGGGTAAGTGGGAATTGTTAAATGATTAAACTTTTTCCTTCGAAAATTTTAATTTGGTTTTGTATTTCAAGAGATGCATGTTGAGGCTTTTTAGGAGCAGAAAATCCGTCTTCTGTAGAAGTGATTTCCTCTGGATGTGTAGCAAAGAGCATTGAGAAGAAGGAAAAGGAGGAGAAGAAGTCGTCGAAGAAGGTCAGTAGCTGGCTGCTCGGAAAATAAGTATAGTAATCTCCGAGTTCAATCTTCCAGGGAAGAAGCCGAGAAAAATTTGAGTTCATTCGGTTTTTCAAATTTTTCGAAACTAGTACAGTCGCAGCAAATTTGTCCTTTCCAAAGTAGAAGAGATGTCAAAGATCGATTACATTTCGATAGACCTTTAGTATTTACTTGACAACTTATTTAAATTTTTTTATAGGGCAGTTTTTCTTGAATGCTCTTTTCAGGATAAGGAAAAAGAACGAGAAAAGCGGAAAGCGCTGATCTCTGAACCGGTCGGTGAAGTTCGACATACGTGTCACGTGGGTATCGACGGTACCGCTTTCGGTCTGTTACAGGTAGGAGTTTCCTTGGACTGTTTAGTTCGTCGACCAGAGTGGGTGGTTGGAAAACCTGTAGCTTCAAGGGAGAGCTTAGCAAGGGAGAGATTTTTATATATAAAGATGGCTTTTAGGAGTTCTTTTAGCTTATTATCCCAGTTTAGTTCTGTTTTTTCCGTAAGTGTTTGATCTCAACTTCCAGTGACAGGGATAGATTTTCCTTTTCTTCTTTCTTTTTTTTTCACTACTTTATGCTACTGTTGAATGTTCATATATGGTGATAATTGATTCGATCTTTTCGAGTTTAACCAGATTTTTTCTTTGATTTTGGTCTCTTTTTTAGCTAGACAAGAAAGAATTGGTGGCTCCGTCTGTGTCTCCATCATCTGTGCACACGAACGGAACATCGGTTCAATCCCATTTGGCACCTTCCCTATCGCAGGTAGGTAATTCTTGTATTGGGGTTGTTGAATTCCTGCCCCGAGCGTTCTCTTCCGTCCTGGATCGGTCTTGTGGACCGGACTGGGAAGGCTGCTCTATTTGGAAGAGTTGCCCCTAAGTGTCAATAGACCAGCTGGTGACCACAAATAATAGCTACCCCAACAACCCTGACATACGGTTTGATATGAAATCCTTCCCGTTCTTTCTAGTCGCTATGGGTTGCACACTCCCTGGAAGGTGTCCTATTTGAATGCTAAACAAATCAAGAAGAGTTGAATGGTCAACGAAGTTGGAGAAAACCAGGGTTCAGGGTGCTACATACTCCTTGCACCCTCAATCACCCATCGGTCAAGTTGTTGCGTAAAGGGACGAACCTAATGGAGTTCTAACTCGAACTAATGTATAGGAGAATATTTTCATTCTTCTTTAAAGCTATGGACGAGCCTGCCTAGTCTGGCTTGGCTAACTTGGGCGGATTTTGATTGTTGATATGAGAGGCTGGGCCTATATAGTTCCTTCATCTCTTACCTTTTATGAAAGCTGCCAAGCAAAAGCTCCATAGATCATGTCCTGGGTGTAAGACAGTACCAAATACGTCTTGAGGTGAGTGCACCGGAGGGGCAGGTAGGTAACTAACTTGTTACGCTGTACATAGCTGCAAAATCGGCTCCTAGCCTGTTAGTGGACAACTTGTTGAAATCGATGCAGTTTGGGTCATGTTTGATTGGGGGACGATATCAAAAATTACCTAGGCTGGAGAGCGGCACCTTCATACAAAATTTTTACATCTGATCACTACAGTAATCTCATCGGCGCAGTTAGCTTGACACTGTGGAGATGAGGTCCTGTTCATCTTACAAGTGGAGTTCTCCTGGCGGAAAACTGCCATAATACAACGCACTACTTGAGCGTTTGTTCAACTTATCATCCAACCTAACCTACCCTAGCCTTTAACCCGAGTAAGACTAGGGTACGTTCAGGGTCAAGGAGGCGTAATGTTGATTCATTTAAAACGTTTTTCGGCTCATTTCGATTTAGCGCCTCTGGGAGTAGATAGATTCTGCTTCGATTTTAGTTCCATTTTAATTTTGAGTTCATTTTGTTATCGTTTTACAACGCTTTTTGTAGTATAGTATTTTGTGGCACTCGCGGTGCCTTCCAAACACCCAACCTGTGTTCCTCAGAATTCTGCTGATACCGAGTTTATGACAGAATTCGAGGAAACAGAGGCTGGGCCAAAAAATCCGGTCTAATACCTTTGGTTTCTCGGCCTTAGTGACTTTTGACCCTGATTACCCTTTGCTTCAACGGTAGATTATAATTCAAAACTGGATCTTAGTGGCTTCATAACTTCCCTTACACATTTCCCAGTGCCGGGCAGAAATCACCACAGTTTCATTGGCATACGTGCTGTCGCGACGCTCTTTCATAGTTTTATTGCCAGTAATCGAGGTTTTCTTTCAAACTTTACTTGAAGGCAAATATATAGTCTGCTTGAGAAGGATCCTCTTTGAAAATTCAGCTTTCAACTATCTGAAAAGTCATTTTTCAAAAAGTTGGCAATCGAATGTTAACCCACTTTACTCGGAATACCAGAATATCGTAGTCTACAGCCCAAGAAATCGATTAGTTATCGGTGGCATGCGTCGCGACCGCACGCGTCCCAATATTCGCTCCCTGTACTGGCCATAAAACGCTATATGGTGAAAGTGTTACGTCTATTTTGGGTGGCTAAAGAGTTTACATTGCTTATTTATAACAACTTTATCTTTTTTAGTTGTATTATTGTGTATAACCAGTGTTAGTTACATGCAAATAGGTTTCGTCACCGGTTGTTCTACGAAGTACAGCAGCTCGTGAAGGTATCAGCATACGTGAAACGATGTCATTACGAGACATTTTGCCAAGCAAGGTGATCGATTTTCCTATGCCCTTTCTTCCCTTTTTTATCCATATTCATTTTTCAAACCCTACTTGTTGCTACACAATCCTTATTTTTTAAATTGTAACTTATGCTTTTTTCCGGTACTTCCTCCCTAATTGGCTTTTGCTGTGTGTAATCGTCAACTAATCCCTCATGTATTGTGTCTGAACTAATTTTAGGAAAAAATTTATTTTCGTTTGGTTTACACCTAATAATTAGTACATGAACAGGCAGGAGATTGGGCTTAGCGAGGCTTGCTGTTGAGGCGGGGATCACTTCACGGGTTCTCTTTCGAGGGAGGGAGCACTTCGCTCGTTATCGTCTCATAAAGGATTAAGGGTGCTTAAGAATGTAAGAAGTTTATAGCAAGACGAAACTGCTACGATTGATACCTCTTATTGCTAGACTTCGATTTTTTGGTCTCATGCCGAATGAGAGGGGGTGGTGGGACGGGGGAAAGGGTCGCTTTTTGCTTTGGCTTTTTGCAACGATGGTTCAGAATTCTATAGAACCGGGTCTAACTCGACTCCAAGCAGTGAAAAATTATCGGTCTGTGACTACAGGAATTACAGGGTAGCTATCATAGAAAGAGGGAATTCAGAAAGGGTAGAGGACGCTCATAATATGTGACTGACTTTTTTTGGGGGGTGGCAAAAGAGTAAACAAATAGACTTCGTCCACAACAACCCAACCTAACACTATTGCTTGGGGCATTCTTGAGATATCCCCAATTAGAGTGCGAAACGGCACCTAAATGGTGTTCGATAGTCTTGGGAAGGCTAGAGCCAGCACACGCACCAGTTAATATCCACTAAATTCACCTTCACTTCCTTTGGTTATACGACTTCCTTTTATTCGCGCAAGCAAACACGACCACGCCGTAATTTCCACTCTGGTTGCGGGACAACACCCGATTTAATGGGGAACAAATAGCGTCTGAGTGTTTAACGAGTGGGACTGCTGGATTTCGCAGGGGTAGAAATAGAACTTTCGTTAGGCTGTAATGATCAAGTAACTTGTTTCGCCGGATAAACCTTTAGTATTCGTAATGTGAAATGTTTGTGAGGTTTTAGTGCTGATTGCTGTGTTAGAGGAAGTGTTTGGTGTGTTCAGGAACCGATAATGTTCCGAGATTTGGTATCGCCACCAGTAGCACGAGCTCCATCTCAACCACCTCCGTCTTCATCGTCTCAGCCATCGCCACAACCTCCGAGGCCGTCAGTATCGCCGAGTGCTCCACCGCTGACGGTGTGTTATCTCAAATTGCACGCTTCAGTTAACTTACTTTCACTATTACCAAGTAGGAGATCAGTCACCATTTGAGAGCTAAATGCACCGGCATAACTAACATATTTAAAAATCTAATTGGATTTGGGCACAGAACCTCTCACCTTATAAGGGTCATACAGTGGGTAAGGAACCTATTTATGAGGGCGGAAAAATCAGCCAAACCTCATGGGAAAAGCCAAGCTGATGTCCAATTATGTTTGCAAATAGAAAGATGGTTACAAACGTGGCATATACAGAAAGACCTGTATTAATATCGTTCTCTATCCAATGGCTTTCTTCCAACTGGTCAACAGCAGCGAAGTGGGGATGACGTGTCGTTTTGCATGTGTGATTTGTGCAGCACGAGTCATCAGGGGGGTTCCGACTGGCCCTCGTGATCGCGTTGCGTCGTTTCCGCATATCAACACGTCGCTATCTAAATACGAGCCTTTCATATGATTCTGGGCTGGACGCTTCGTTGACAAGTGTTTTTTCAGCGCTGATTGCGGTTTACTCTAAGATATATTTGCTGAGTTTTGGTTCCGAACGACTGTTTGTTCATAGAAAGCGAAGTTCTGTTTTGTTCTATATATTTGGTTGATTCCTTTGATCGCCTTTCTCCTGAAGAATACTTTTCTAGTCTTTAGAAGTCCTGTAGCTGTTGCTACTTCCAAAAAAAAANAAAAAAAAATTCATTTTTAGCTTGATTTGCGCATTCCTCTTCTTCTGCCTGTTGATATTTCGTTGTGCTCTCGACCCTTTCCCGACTTTATTACCACCTTCTTGCCACTACTACAACTGAAATTACTGCTCCAGCTCTTTAATCGACTCCTGTACCTAATCTGATTCTGATGGAAGCTCCTACCCTTTTGCTCTCACTTTGTCTGTCAATGTGTACACGCTGCAGTACCTCCTTTTTGTCGGGAACTGTACGCCTTATTATTCCTTGGTACCATTTTCTGTTTTCTAGGGCCTTACCTCAGCTCTAGACTCAGCTTTTCCTGTCCCTGGTTTCCCGAAAAGGGTTGATTCACTCGCGTTGGCACTTTGCCGGCCCTCGATCAGTTTCTTCTGGCAAAAGCCACTCATTTGATCGCGCTACCTTCAAATATCACGTTTCCATGCCTAACCGGAATGCTTGCATTTCCGAGTTTAACCAGTATCCTCCCTGAGAATGATCTCCTTCCGCTCCATTACTCTTGTAATGTGACCATCCCACTTCACGATGTACGCCGAGGACATTTTCCTGTTTCCTTTCTTTTTCTTACATTTCTACCTGGGATGAGATTTTCTGCCTGACAGCTTTTACATCTCCGATACCAAAACTTGTAAGACCATATCCATTCGCCTCCCTTCCTCTCCTTTCCCGTGTTTCATTTCGAAGTTCATATTGGAGACTTCCACGACACTTTTGTTTATCAAGTTGTATAAAATGGTATCACCTAAAGGGCAGTGATTTTAGAAGTTTGACAAGTAGTTCAAATTCATTGTAGGGAACAAATGAATAACCTTTTGCGAATCTGACCTATAAGTCCTTAATTTCTTTAAAAAATGATCCTTGTTGTTTTGTTCTTTGTTTTTCTGTTTATTTTATTTCCCACGTGAGATGCATTTGGGAAATTTTATTCTCCAAAAGTAGCCTGTAGCTCCACCTACTCGATCACGTTTGTCTGATTACTAGAAAAAGGCTCGAAGTCCTCCTTATTCTTTGAAGACTACACACAATACATAGACGGAGACACATTAAACTAACGTAATTAATAATTACGATAATAATAATTATTATTTATTAACAGCGAATGTTTATTTTCTTTTTTGTATGTTGAAAATTTTTCGAAATTATTTGATCTAGAAATTTCATGTTGTTTGCTTAGATACTGGATCCTCATCTGCTTTTTGCTAAGTTGCTGAAATCAGTCGAGGTGAATAGAGGTCTAAAGAGGAAGCCAACTGTCGAGAATTTGGTGGTTTGATTTCAGGAATCCGCTTTGAATTCCATGAATCGTAGTATGCAAGAGGAGTTCACAGAGTTGACGTCGTTGAACAGTACTGGCTTTTCGAGGTCCGATGAAGTACCGGGGCGCTATCGACCGCCTATCAGCGCCCCATTCACAAAGCCGATCGCTGCTGTCTACGCCAGGAGTCCAGCGTAGGTTCCATAAAGCTCAGAATTTTCAGGTTCCTGGTTATTTCCCACTTCAATGGACTAACGCTTTCAGTCGTGACGTTACCAATACGAATAATGCCTATACGGGACCAGCAACAGCCGATACAATACTATGTGATGAGGTAGAACACCTGGAAAGAGATCTCACTGATTTTTCGCTCTCTTCACTCAGCGATCTTGTCGATGATACACGGCCATTGATAACGGGCAATGGAAAAGTGCCTTCACAACCTAAACCAACTAGCAGGTAAGCATTTCGCGGTGCTCAGATGATTTGCCTACGGCTGCTTCTACTCTTTTGGGGAAGATAGTTTAGTTGGGGGGTAAGGGTTGTGGGAAAAAATTCATTTCATGCTAAAACGATCACCTTCACCGTTTCCCGGGGAGAGGTGTTGTTTCCTGGCTATCCCCTCCGGGAACATACCCCCTTTGTCATGAATTTCTTTCCCTTCGGTTTCATGCCATCTAAATGGCCATATTTAGTCGGAAGGACAATGTGCCTTTGTAAATACGTATATTGTCTGGACCCGGTGAGTCATGGAAACGGTCGAGCTCGCATCCCTAAGGGTTTTATTGGGGTTTAGATGCATGTCGTATCCCTGTAGGAATCTACCCCCAACACATCCCCTCATTTTGCGCAAAATTTGGTGTTTTTCCTATAATAACCCGTTGAACTATATTATTTAGAATATGACGAAATCTTTTTTCCCATCGATATGTAGTGAATTTTAGTGCGTCATCATCGTCAACGCCATCGCCCAACTCGATACGATTGATGACGACTGAAGAAATGCAACGATGGCATGAGAAAGAGGTGCATTACAGCTATCGAATGAGCAGATTTCTTGTTCTGAGACCCAGATTTGATTGATTGAGGCTCTCCTTTCCTAGATATAATTGTTAAGTTTTCAATTCGTTGTATTCTGTGGTCCCGAGAAGGCCTTGCGCTTTGGCTCGAAGATGACTTCTCTATGAAAACAATTAGTTCGAATTCTGAGCTCTAGCATGAGTGCAGTCGTTGATTTTTCAAAGAAGGACGCTCCATGTAGGGTTCATTCGGTAAAATGAATGTTCCCAATCAGTTATGGTATCGTGTGCAACCTGCAGGATGTGAATTTGAACAATTTTTTAACTAGATTTCCGACCACTTCAGGTTTCTAGCAAATTCCCGATGAGGAAAATTCCAATGTAGACTCTTATCATGATCTGTAACGCTGCCTTTGATCATCTGATTTTAGACTCGTGAACATAAAAAAGCTCAATCACAACTGAGTGGTGGTCGTCGAAAAGAGCCGTTACCAGATGGTCCAAGAATTGATGACGAGAAATCGTTCAGGTTAGTGAATGTCGTCTCCTCTACTGGATCAATCAGAACAACTCCCTGATTGATCGTCCTGCAGGCGATTTGAGCAACGGCTATAACACTAGGTTTCTTGTTTCGTGGCTTGTGAGATGTTTATGTTTGTGTTTACCTGAGACTGCCACCTATTTCTTTTTTTTTNTTTTTTTTTGGAGAGCCTACTTAAGTTAGATCGCCTTGAACCTACTTTTGCAGAACCGACCTAGCTCCCTCGCTTCGTGCAAAAGTCGTTGTTCAAAGTTTACATCTCTAAGAATTCTAGTGATTGCCGAGCGCATGGCGCCTTCTGGGAGGGTTAATCTCCAGCTAGTCTGCAAGGCTGTTTTAGAATTCAATTTATGGCTCCAGGCTGTTTTAGAATTCAATTTATGGCGGAATATTTTCAGTGCGAATCTAGCAGCTCGCCCATTAAGGCAGACGCCGCCAGATTGGACCAGTGAAGCTCAGGAGGCATACAAATTGCTTGTCGAATGCGGTCGAGATCTTACCAACACCACCACTTCATCACCGCGATCTTCGCCTTCTAGTGAACAACTGGTAATCATTTGGTGAAAGTTATCGAGCCAAGCCACGCCTATGCTCTTCGTTTTGCCCTTTGTTAAGCTGCTCAATCGTATTGATCTTCCAATGGTTAGCTTCTTTTTTTTTAAATTCACTTATCTTCAGAAGCGAATCACTGTTATCGAAAGGAAGCCGGCAGCATCACCGTCTCCGATACCACCACGGCCAGCCACCCCACCACATGTGAAAGGTCGTGAAACGTCAGTCGAGCCAAGCCAAACCACTGAGGACGTGACGAGTTACTCACCGCAGAAACGAGTTCATGTCATCGAAACCAAGCTGCTTACAACCACAGCTGCTGAACAGGTACAGTGATTCCTGAATGGTTCTGTAGAGGAACGGTTTATAAAAATCCATAAAACGATCGTTAGGATTGAAGACCAGGGGGTGTGGTGCGTTAGGAACGAAATGGTCGCGTCGCGGTGAGAGGGGCATCGCGCGCGAAGGAATGTAGCAGGATGCAGCAGTAGGTAAGAACAAAAGTACTAATAGTAGAATTATGCATAAAATAATGATCGCATATCGATTGAGCTGTATGAAGAACGCTAGAGCTGTAATAACGGCGAGTGAGTGGTCCGCGACAGCCGCGTGCGGCGAATCCATTACCCAAAATCCTTCCTAACGCCCGTCTCCCAAGACCAGGCAGCTGTCGAGGTTTGGATGTCATGGGATTTCCTTGAAGAAAATATTAGGATTGTGGGCGGTAAAAATAATGCGCGTTTCCAAGAAATCTCCAAAGTTCTCGAGATTTCTTGGAAACGCCCATTATTTTCACCGACTCGACTCGACTCACCCCAAAGTCGACCGATATCAAAACTATTACAGTATACAAATCGTCGCTGGAAGTGTTCAATTTGGGTCATTCCCGCTTCATTGGTGTCCGAAATTTTGTAATCGACGAAGTTCCGGAACTCGTTTTTGGCACCACCCAGCTCCTTGCGTTACTTCTTGCGGTCTTAGTCCAGTCAGGTACATGAAGCGGTAGTGGATTACCACACGACACAAACACACCGGTCTTCTTCGGATGCATTTCCAGTTTCCTGAAGTGCTTGGGAGGTTCCTCCTTAGCCATTCATTCAGCAGGACGTCTCTTGTTGTCGTAAAGGATGCATTTTTCATTGCACACAACAACACGATCGATAAATCTGTCGTTCTTGTTTCGTACAGGAGTGCTGAGCAAGTGTAGAACGTCTGTTCTTTCGAGGCTTACTCAGTTCATGCCGCACCCACTCATCCAACTTTCACATCTTTTCAATTCTCTCCAAATGACGGACGGTTGTCGAATGATTAAAGCCGTTTTTAAACAACTCGTGTCGCTTCATGGGGTCCAGCTTCGCAGGTTGTCTTCAGCAGGCGGTCCCTAACTTCAGAAGGAATTTAGAAAGAAACTTTTCAATTTCGAGACTCATATTACGGCGACGGATGCTGTGGAACCGGTTGTACCTCCCACACCCAAATCATTGTTAATTCGAGCTGTTTCATCTGCAGACCTGTCCAGCTTTGCGAAAAATCGTGATTGTGGTTACAAATCACCTCAGCACTACTAATTACAAAGCTTCCTTTATTAGTGATGATTGTAACCGAAAAATTTGTTGGGTATTATAAATAAGGCATCGAAGATGTTAATCCCTTTCTTCCTGTGAATGACATATGAATTCAATAAAAATATGGAACTCAATCAAAAAATGGGAATGTTTTGAGCAACTGCCATTTCTCGTCGTTGTGTTGTCAGCATCCTCAGTGTGACGACGTGTGATGAATACCTGACGATGAATTATGCTCTGAATCGACATGATTAATAAGCGAAATCATTAATTCTCGCATTTCCTTCGATGCCAAAATGTTTTCTAAAATTCCTTGGTGTTCTTGGATTGTTTTCAAAACATTCTATTTTTATCATTCTCATTTCTAATCGATAATCGAATAATTTCAAGGATCGCCTTCCACCGGGTCTGCCACCGAAATTTGACCAAAAACCACCTCCTTCACGGCCTCCGAAGACGCGAAATGTAAGTATGAGAGCATTTTCATACTTAAAAAAATAAAAAGTCGAAAAATTAGGGTTCGATTTTGATTGATCAACCCCCAGATTGATCAGGCCAAATATTCATTTTCTCCCTGAGGCTTGTGACCTTCAAATGTTTGTGACTCATACCACCTACGGATCGATTATTGATTTTTGTGTAGTTTTTGGGAAACTAACCAGCGGCCATATAAGGTTCATTTCGGCACAGAATACGTCTTCGTTTTCCCTTCCTAAAGCCTGTTGCCTCAGTGTCATCTTGTGAATGGCCTGTAGCCTATCAATCACATTTGAGAATTCTATAGGCACATGCTTCTAGGCGTATCTCCACGTTCGCTACTTGACCAACAAAAACCCACCAACTATCAAAATGTCAATCAAAATGTTCAATCTATTTCAGATCCCTGTCATCATGAATGGTCGCTCGGTGAACTATGACAACCTGAACGGCGTTAGCACCGGCCGAGTAGCCCCACCTCCTGTGCCACCCAAACCAAGAATGCCGTGAGTTTTTCCTTAAACTGCCGAATCTTCAGATTCGCTTAGCTCTTGTTGAATTACAGAACCTCTCGGCCATCGTCAATATCGCCCCCGCCGGCATCAGCATCTCGACTGCCTATCGAGAAGGAGTCACCCGGCTTTGCTCC